GGGATATGAGGGTACCTGGGCAGATATGAAAGCACCTGGGCAGGTGGGATGTTGGGGTACTTGGGCACATGGGGTAAAATGTGGGTGCATCTGAGCAGGTAGGGTATGGAGGTGCCCAGGTAGGCATAGGGGTATTTGGGCAAGTAGGGTGCAGGTACCTGGGCAGATATGGGAGCACTGGGCAGGTGAGGTATGGTGCACCTGGCCAGGTATGAAATTGTCTGGGGAGGTGAGATCCAGACAGGTATGGGAATATGGGAGAACTGGGGTAGGTAAAGAGGGATGAGCTGGGATGAGCACCTGGGCAGGTGTTTTTAAAGTGGACATACAGGTATGTGGTGGGGTGAACATCTGAACAGGTACGGGGGCATCTGGGCATGTGCAGGGGCAGAGGAGGGGAGTCCACTGGAGATGCTTCCCCCAGGAGCTGACAGCACAGGGAACTAAGATAGGAGCAAGGCAACTGGCCGTGAAGGATGTTTGGGCTCGCTGGTGGGACCCTCTCTCACAGGTCTGTGCTGTCCTGCCAGGGATCACCTGGACTGGCGGCCCACCTGGCTCTGCCCACCCTGTCTAGCTGCCCTGCCCAGCGATGCCAAGGTGCTGCTGTGGACAGAGAAATGAGGATATGACTACCCTGCTTACCTATGGGGCAATCCTGAGCCTTCCCTCTTCTTCTCTTCCAAGGACTTCAGTTTGTCAAATGAAAAAGATGCCCACGCCAGTGGCAGCGATGAGAACTTGGAGCGTGGCAACTGGTCAAACAAAGCTGACTACCTGCTCTCCATGGTGGGCTATGCTGTGGGCCTGGGCAACGTCTGGCGGTTTCCCTACCTCACCTACCAGAATGGCGGAGGTACCTGTATTGAATGACAGTGTTGGGTGGGCACACCTTGCTATCCCCAGGAGAGAAGAGGGCCAGCCCTGAGGCTGGGCATGTTCTGTCAAAGCTGGATATGAGCATCACCCTGGGAACTGAGAATAGTGCCTGCGGATGGGAATGGGAAGAGGAGCAAGAGGCATCTCTCTGCTTTTTGGGTACCAGCTGAGGGGGGAAATTGTATTTAGTTTTAATTGCGAACTTCCACCTGAGAATTCCAGAACTCTTCTGATTTAATTATGACCAACATGCATCTTTTTGTCACTGTGCCAATATCCTCTATTTACCTAAATAGCTGTTCTCCCTCTTCAGCGCTTACCTCACTGGTATGTTTATAGAGAGCAATTGAATCCCCTCTCAACCTTTGTTTTGCCAGGCAAACAAGCTAAGCTGGAATAATTATCCAAGCTCAATAATTATCTCCACCAGATACTTGGGAAGTGCGAGGCAGAGAGAGCCTCTACCTGCTTACACAATGAACTAGTGGCAAAGCCAAATGGAGGCACTGGCTTCTCTGGCTGCTGTTCCAGAGCTTTGTCTACTTGCCAGGCAACCACTGGTAATTAAAGGCAACATAAACGCCAAGTAACTGCAGAGGACTTACTTGTATGTACTTATTTGCTCTGCCTAACAGTCATTGGAAGTCGAATTCTGGACTGTAAATGAGCACAGCCCATACAGCTGGATGTGGAACACAAGGTGGCATTCTTGGGACAGAAATTTTATTGGAGTGAGCTTGGCTGGGTTGTGTTACTTACAGTTTTGTTGAAAATTATGAAAGACAAAATAAGTTGTGTCATGAGCCCTTTTACTAGACTTTTTTTTCTTATCTGCTGCAGCAGAAATCTTTGCATTTAAAGCCTATTTGTGCTGCTGCTTGTATCCTGCTTTGTGCCCCTTGCCCACAATTGATAAAAAGACAGCTGTTACATCCTTGTTTCAAAACACAGGAGTAATCCAGTTAATTCTGTGGGACTATTTACTTCCTTAAATTGCAGCAGATATTTGCAGTTCCTTGCAGAACTGGGTCCTTGATTGCTTTAAGTTCACTGAGAGTGAAGAGGACAGATTTCTATGGGGATATCGGGTCGTGTTTAGGAAACCTGTGCTCTCACTTTCCCTATCTTCCGCACACACACAAAGACATGCCAGTCCCTTTTGCGGAACAGGGCTTTCATTGATATCAGGTTAATGTGCACTTTAAAATGGGCTCGAACAGGAGCCATGCAGAGACACTGTTTGGCACAGGAGTCAGTCAACCATAGAAAATAATTTCCATGCTTTGACGTCCAGTAGTTACTCAAACAGGGCCGTTGCAAATCATCGCTAAGTACATGAAGGAACGGTTCTATTCCTTTTTAAATTAAAAGCTGGAAGATAAACTGGAAAACAGACAAAGCAAATGGTGCCTACAGCTGAGCAGTGTTCCTGCTTGTATGAGAACAGTATGTCTTTGATAGTTCCTGTAAAATCCTTTTAATTCTATAAGAGAAGCCATCCCATGTAAATCATCAGTTCTCCTAGTAATCTGTGTCTCTTCATCACAGGTACTATTTAGTCTTACAGAAAACAGGATTTAGAAACAAATCTCTGTATGCTGCAAAAAAGCAAAAAAACCCCACAGTGGGATATTTGAGGCGGAGGAAAAAGGGGAGTATAAAATGTGATGGAACTGTGGTGAATACGTGAAAATTCATTGTGTTCTCTGTGTATGTGTTCGTGTTTCCCCTCCCCACCTCTCTCCCTTCAGGTGCTTTTCTGATCCCCTACACCCTGATGCTGGCATTAGCTGGCTTGCCCTTATTTTTCATGGAATGTTCCCTTGGGCAGTTTGCCAGTCTAGGGCCAATTTCCGTCTGGAGAATATTACCATTGTTTCAAGGTTGGTATTGTTATGTTTCCTTAGATCTTTTTTAATCTAGTAATAAACAGATGTGAATTAATGATTTCTTCACGAAGTTACTAATTCTGAAAAGCTGGTTTCTGTGTAGAGCATATTCCCAAGGTTACAAGGTCAGTATTATGTTCCCAGGTAGATCTTCCTTTTTATTCAATTAATAAACAGATGTGGATTAAATATTTCCCCAAAAAGGTTGTCAATTATGAGAGGTTTTATCAATGATTCTCCTGGTGTTATGCAGCACACCACCTTAACAGCGATCCAGGCAGAAGGAAATCACCTTGTTTGCTGTGTGAGGGGGAAAACTCAGTTAAACACCTGGCACTGGGTGCAAGAGACTGAAAATTATTTTTAGAAGTTAACTTTATCACTGTTTCTTTACACTTTATGTCCTACGTAGCTTGCAAGGCAGTTCCATGTTGGATGGACTAATGCTGTATTTGGCTGCTGGCATTGGCACAGGCACATGAGTCTGATTGCTTTATGCAGTGCTGTGCACATATTCATCTAACTTGTTGCCTTGGAAGTCATCTGCTAGTGTGATAAAACAGGTTATACTCTGGCTTTGTAAGGTGAGGTGCCTCCTGTGATAAGATAAATAGTTGTACTATGTAGTGATAGTTTGCCTATCTCTGTGAGGGTTTGGATTTCATAGGGAGATTTATGTGTTTGGGAACAACTAACCATGTGCTTTACTCACTCCTATACATCCAGGTCCTGTACCAACAGGTGTAAAAGGACTATGTAATTGGTTTTATTTGTCCTTTTTATCTACCAGAAGAATTAATGTAAGAACAAGGAAGTTTCTTTCTGATGCAATAAGAATTTCACTTGCCACTTTGCACAGAAACAAAAGGGATTACAGTCTGGCTGGCTGCCTGCACGCTTACTCTTTGCCAGTCTCCGTTCTGCAGCACAAACAGCCTTTCACAAGAGCAGCGTATTTAACTTTAAAGCAAAAGTCTATAGACATAGCAAATCTTTTGTGTGTCTGTGAAGATATAAACTTAAATATAGTCTCCAAGATGATTAGGACAGTTTGGCAGATTTTCCCAAACTCACAGAACAAAGTTCATTTTAACAAAGGAGGAGAACAGTATTATTGGCACAGATTTACTGTTCTGTGTTGCTTCTCATTTATTGGCAAAACCATTCATTACAGTGGGATCTTTAAAATGTTGCTCAGCCCTATTTTTTATATCGTTTCCTTTATGTTACTAAGCAATCAAAGCTTCCCACTGGACTGGGAGAGAGCAAAATACTGAATTTCTCCTTTAGACTTGGACTTACCCAATTTTTTCTGTAGGCCTGATTCAAACTCTGTGTCAAAACCATATTTGAGATGGTCTGCTTGGATCATATCCCTCATTTCATGGCTTTACCCTTTCCCTGTTCAGCTGCTGTTAAAGATTATTTAAAAGACAAACAAAAAACAACCTCAACTTCTTCCCAAGTAGCCTTTTAAAAGTCCAGTGAAGGCCATTTTTTTTTTTTTTTCCAACCCATGTTTGGGGTAGTTAAGACATTGTGTCTTTTTCTTTCTTAGGAGTGGGCATCACGATGGTCATCATCTCAACGTTTGTGGCGATCTACTACAACGTTATCATTGCTTATGCACTCTACTACTTATTTGCCTCATTTCAAAAAGTGCTGCCATGGTCGGACTGCTTTTCCTGGGCAGATGAGTTCTGCAGCAAAACACGATTAGGTACCATACTCAACAGATAGAGCTTAATATTACTGTTTTGGATACTTGTAGTTTGTACTGTTTTCTGGGAGAAATTATAAGAGCAAGACAACTACCCATGGCTTGAAAAGTCCTTCCTGGAGTTTTGTCTCTGAACCCATGAGAGTGATGCTTGTCTGCTTCCCTGCCACCACTTCTGGGTGCTTGGGAATTCTACAGGGAGCTGGGATGAAACCTCCTTGTTGCATCCTTTTTTTTCCTCCTTTAAAATCCAAGGTTTCTCCTAGTACATACAGTCCCTGGAAATACTGCATTCTTACTTCATCAGGCTTCCTGGCAAATTGAATACCTTCCTTACACAAAACAAGAGTATTGCTGTAGCTTTTATCAGGAGTTCTTTCCTTGTCCCTTGCCTCCCCTGTGGCTATGGTAATCCTGAGCACCACTGAGGCACTGGTTTCGCACTTTATTAACTCTTTAGAACACATCTCCACGCTATTGTTCTTGATGTTTGGCAGCAGATGTACAGCCAAACACTTGTTATCTCGCCAGTTTCCATATCAGACCAGTTTAAGGCAAAGGTGAAGTTGGTGAGATAATTAGTAGTTAGTAGCTGGAAATGTGTTGCCAAGTGTTAATGTAATTGTAACTCTCTTAATCATATATCTGAAAATCTCTTCTAAGATTCATAGGTTTCATAAAATGAAGTTGAGATGCTTTATTTAACAGAAAGTTGATGCTTGCTTATGGGCTAAACAAAAATAGTTTAGTTCAACATTTGTAAGTGCTGGAGGAATACAAAACTGATGTAGTGTTTTTTACTATATATTCTGGCAAAAAAAAATCTCAACTCCCAAAAAACCCAAACAGCATCCATAATCCCCTGCCCCAAGGGAACTGTTTAAAGAGCTGTAATAAGCCCTGTGCCATAACAAGATGAAGTTGCTAGACGATGATCTGTGTGTAACCTTGGTTTGGGACAAAGGTTTTCTTACAGTAACCAAGGCTGCAATCTTAATTATCCTCAGTTCTTATTTTTGCAAGTATTCTTGATGATAGGTGAAAAATGGAGCTGAGCACACCAGATTCTTGGTGTTTTGATTTACAGTCAAAGTAACAAAGTCACAGCTGGGAGTGATAGTTCAGGTTTGTTTCTAAATATTGTTAGTAGGCAAACTGAAGCTGTAACTGTTTAGAAAACATTTTTACTATAATAGTCTGATTTTTATAATTAATCATCACTGTGTTAACAATCCCTTTTGCTTGCTTGCTTGCTTTCAGTAAGTGACTGCAATGCAACCTTAGATGGAGAGATCATTCATGCAAACTACTCGTTCATCACAAACAACAATCTCACGTGTATTAATGGAACCATTAACTACAAACCAGTGCAATTTCCCAGTGAGCAATACTGGAAGTAAGTAAATATCTTAAAGAAGTTGCTAAAAATGCATTTATTATGTGTTGTGATTTTGAATGTATCTTCTATTTTTGTTGTATCTTGCTACTCAGAAACAATCTAGTCAAGGGGGGTGGGCATGCAAATCTGTCCATAAGGGACTTAAATTTTAATTGATGAGTGTTAGCCCTTTAAAAAAAAAAAAGTGAATCAAATGAGTTGACCTGTAGCAAACTGAAAAATACTCCAGCTTAAAGAAGTCCTCTGCTCTGGTGTCTTGGTAGGGACTACTTACCATCTCTGTATGGCATATACTTTTTTTCAGGAATTACTGTGAAAAACATTTTCACTTTATTCTGAATCTGAGCCTATTGTGAAACTGTCATTTCTTTAGCCACATAGTTTCAATTTGCCTCATGTTCCCTGGGTTCTTGGGAACTGATTTTCTTACGGGTTCTTCTCTTGCCTTTAGAATTTCATGGTTAACGTGAAAGAGGTGAGGTAGGCCTGATGGGAGATGTATAGAGAGCTGAGGGCTGGTAGACTTTAAAAAGATGGGGGAAATGCAGTTAAATATTCAGTTTTGAATGCCAATCATGCAGTTCTAACTGCACACTCATGGAAGTGGCTGCAGGGTTTTGTAATATCTGCAGAAACCAGCTCACTTTACTTCAAGAAGTAGTTGAAGAGTAATAGTGTGTGCTGCTGTTGTCCTCTTCTCATTGCAACATTTTGTGGTTTCAGTAAAGTGGCTCTTCAACGCTCGAGTGGGTTGGGTGAGACTGGTAACATCGTGTGGTACCTGGCTCTCTGCCTTCTCCTGTCCTGGATAATTGTTGGAGCTGTGTTGTTTAAAGGAATAAAATCTTCTGGAAAGGTAAGTTAGGAAGAGCAAGTAGCAGACTTTTGGCCTGATTCTGCCCTTCCAATGTCAGTTGGACTCAGGGAAGGTTAGCACAAGGCAGGGTGCAGTCCTAACCCACTATTCTCCCCTGGACTCAGCGTTAGACTTTCTTCCTGCTCATTGGCTTCGTAACTGTTACATAAAATACAAGTAAGGCACCAATTACACAGCAATTACTTAACATATGTGTCTCTTAACCTCACCAGGGCTGCCATGTATTTGGGGATCTTGCTGTCATGCAGGTGATTCCACTTGAGTTTTGGCAGTCACCTGGCCTGTTATGATGGACATGTGCATCTGACCGCACACGTGCGCACACACCCTGGGAACACCCGGCAATTATTTGCACCTTCAGACTAGTTGAGATGTTTGGACAATACAGGTCAAGTCCCGTGAACAGATGTACATGTGCAGGTTCCTGCCAGATTGGTAAATGTTGTTTGTACTCAACATTTCAAGCTGCTTTTAGGGACCAGGTCCATAGGTGCTTGTTTTCAGATTCTAGCTCTGCTGAGCTCCCATTTCCACATGCTGGAGCACGGCTACCTGGAGTTTTCCTTGGGCTAAGTTGGATCCTCTCCAGACTTCAGGCAGGCTCAATTTCGTTCTTCCCTGCCTGAGGCCCTTTTCCTTGTTTAGCTCCTTCCTCCCTATACTCCTTTCCTACCTCCATGTTGCATGTCCATTGCTTACTTATTCAGTTTCTGTTGCCTTCATTCCTTCTCTCACCCTTTCTGTGCTGTTTTTTTTTTGTTGTTTTGTTTTGGTTTTGATTCCTCCTGTCACTGTGCCTTTCCATAGTTCCTCACTGCCTGTCTTCCTTTTCCTGAGTCTGATGTCTCCTCCTATTCTGCTTTCTATTCGGAGCTTTTGGCTCTCAGTCTCAGCACTTCAGGATGGAGTATCTGTGCTTTCCTGGCCACAGTTGTTCCGCTGCATGGCTCCTCTTAAACTCACGTTCTTTGGGTTCCTGGCAATTGACTCTTCCTGTTGTCACTTCTCTTCTGGCACGAAGGTCAGCCTCTCTCAGGAGTAAGGTAAGACTCAGAAGAATCTAGCCGGGCAGGAACAAGGCAAAGATGAAGAGCAGAGAGAATAGTCTATTCCAGGCAAATACAAAGGAGGTCTTCAGAAATGGCAGACTCACCATATGATGGTGCAATGCTATGGCTTGGTGTAACCAGCAGTATCAGGTCAATTATCTGTCTGTGTAACACTGAAACTAAGACTCGAGCAACAAGAGTATTGGTGAACGTAGCATGCATGATAATAGCACTGCTTAGCCCTCCTTCTGGCCTGGATCCCATCATGCTAGAAACTGTGTAGACAAACAACTAAAAAGATCTGTGTTGGAGAGAATCTAGAAGTCCTGTTCCTAGTAAAGAAAGCTTCGAGCATGGTGGTTTTTGTTTTTTGGTTTTTTGTTTGTTTGTTTGGTTGGTTTTTTTGTTGTTGTTGTTTTGTTTTGTTTTGTTTTTTTCCCTTCCCAGTCCTAGCAGGAGATACTTCCATCCTGGTCACCTAATTTTGACTGGCTTTTAGTTGGCATTTGCTAGAAGCATTGCCTAGCAAGAGACCTCTGGAGTAGTTGAGTCCAGGCCTTGCTACAGCAGTAAATCATGTCAGAAAACACATTTCTGAAACTGGTCAAGTACTATCTGAAAAGTGGATGTGTGGCTTGGGCCTTCTGCTTATGCTGGAATGCAGCTCCAGAACCGGCTAAGCCAGACGGTTTAGTGGTTGGCATGTGTTCACTTCCCTGGTTGCCTGTTTTTCATTTGTACCGGCAGACCTTAGCCTAAAACCTGGCCATTCCTCGTGCATAGAGGTCTGTGCATCACCTCGCTTCTAATGTGCGTCCCTGCCCTTCTTTCTGCAGGTTGTCTACTTTACTGCGCTCTTCCCATATGTCATCCTGCTCATCCTGCTGGTGCGAGGTGCCACCCTGGAAGGTGCTCTGGATGGCATCGAATACTACATTGGGAGACAGTCCAACATCACCAAGCTGATGGAGGCGGAGGTGAGAGGTAGTGTCAGCCCTGGAAGCACTGATACGCTTCTGTAGTTCTAGGAGCTTGTCACTTACTGAGCAACTTCTTTTTTATCCAGTCAGGTGCTTCATGTCCTCCCCTGCATTTTTCGGCAACCCCCAGCTCTATCGAAAGTCAAAGCCCCTATTCTAGCTAAATCTAGAAGCTATATCTAGAACCCCTATTCTCAATCTAAAAAACAGCCATCCTCTGCCCCAGTCCTGCCACACCAGACAGGGACGACAACTGTGGTTTTGTCTCTGAGCAGCTCTCAGGGGTCAGGCTGAAGTTTCATCCTAGCTATGCCTGCTGAGAAAGTTCTTACTGTGGGATCAAGCGTTGCTCTCGCATGTGTCCCGCTTGCTTTGGTTGCCGATTATTTCAAGGGACTTCATCAGAAGGCTGAGGGGACCCATGAGTTTGAAATTCAGGCTGTGCCTTGCCCAGGAAATTAGCTTGGGAAATTAGGTGGACCAGGAAGGGCACCTTGTGCAAAGGAAGCCTGGATTTTTCTGTTCTGGCTTACACCAACATTAGTTCAGTTTTACCAAAAGCACACATTAAGTTCAATATTTATTTGTGGTATTTTATGTGAGCATTTGGCATTAACTGAGGGGCTGCAGCAGAGGCAGAAGTGGTTTGTCTGGGTTATGGTGTGAGGAACACAAGTGGGAGAGCACATGGAAGTTCTCGCTCCTGCAACGCAGTCGTGGTTTTCCTTATTCGTTGGCACTGTGACAACATTCACGTCTCGACAACCCACGTATTTGAACGAATTGAATCTCTTCTTCAGGGTTAGTCCAATAGGATTTAAGTATTTGGCAACGTACTTGGGATGTGACCTTTGGAGATCATAGCAGATATTGTTTGTGCTTGAGACTGCGAGGTCACCAGCACGCTATATCTCACCTACTCTAAAATTCATGTGAAATAGAATTAGATATTCAGGCTAAATGTAGAAAAACTCTGGAACTTCCAATAGAGGGCAGACTTAAATATTTATGATATGTACTGTAAGCAATACAGTAATTCCTGTGTTCTTATTTCTGGTAGGTTTGGAAAGATGCAGCCACCCAGATATTCTACTCCCTGTCTGTGGCATGGGGCGGGCTTGTTGCTTTGTCTTCATACAATAAGTTTCACAACAACTGCTACTCAGATGCTATTGTCGTTTGTGTAACCAACTGTGTCACCAGCATATTTGCTGGGTTTGCAATATTCTCTGTCTTGGGACATATGGCATTCGTGTCTGAGAGACCTGTCTCAGAGGTTGTGGACTCAGGTAGGCTGATCGTCATGGGTATCGGGACTTGCTTTGACTGAGGCATGACAATAACCTCCTTCCTTCCACTACTTTCCAGGATTTGATCTGGCATTTGTAGCCTACCCAGAGGCTCTCTCCAAGTTACCAGTTTCTCCTCTGTGGTCCTTCTTGTTTTTCTTCATGCTCCTGCTCTTGGGCCTTGACTCTCAGTTTGCCACCATAGGTGAGTGGGTTTTTAAGTAACCCATGGCTTTTGAAATTACTCTTACCTTTCTTAACTGTGCTGCTCAAAACCCACACTTCTTCCTTTGCAGAAACACTCACAACCACCATACAAGATATATATCCCGAAGTGATGAAAAAGTTAAGAATCCCTTTAACCCTGGCTGTGTGCATATTGCTCTTCTGTCTTGGTCTTACTTGTGTTACTCAGGTAAGACTTTAAAGTCTTTTTGGCAGTGGGTTTAGTTACGCTGCAAGTGATGAACTCAAATATCAAATATCCTTTCCAATTGTTTCTGTCTGCATGGTTTGATCTGAGAGACTCTTGAATTCTGCCAGTGTACCTGTACATGCAAATAAGAAATTCCCAGAGGGAAGCTTTGAAGAACCTAAGGTTTTTCTGTGATTATTGAACTAGATGTGCTTTTAAATAGAAGACCTGTACAGAGCCTGTGAACCATCAACCTGATTTATTGCTCCTCGGATCAGGAGACTGTTTGTGTAATCTCAAGCATACGCATACAGTGTGTTTGCAGCACTATGGGTACTGCTAATAGAAGCTGATGGGATCTTTTTGTTCAGAGCGGACTACCGAACAGGACAGGATTTGAGAAATGGCCTATTCACATCATAAAAACCTGTTAGCTCACAAACATCTGTAGATTGTATGGTTACACACACACAGACACACACACAAGAATAGTGTGTAAAATTTCTTGAGACAATTGATTTTAAGGATATAAGGGTTCATTGCAATTACTCCATCTAGAAATGCAGATTTATGTATGTAATTAGCCTGAGGATGTGAAGAAGATAATTGTAGTAAATAGACAGTTGTATGGTCAAGCAAAGCATAGTAAGTTATGAAACATGATGGCAGGGAAGCTTGCAAAGGACTTAGTATGCAATGTGTGAAATGACATAGAGCTTGTTTCCTGCTCTGTGATCCTGCTATTGCATGCTGGTGTTTAAAGTTGTGTTTAACCCATGTGGAAAACTTGTGTGTGTAGGAGTGTACAAGCCTACCAGAACTGATAAATGCTATAGCTGTTGCTGTATCTGAGTATTAAAACTTTAATATCAACTTTAATACTGTAAGTTCCAAATTAAAATCTTGCTCTTAGCTGTTCATAAATACTCTGCATATACATACATATTGTTATTAGTATACAGATCTACAGTATTTTGTCAGACATGCTTTTCAAATTTACATAGAGATATTTAAATGAAATAATGTTCACAAATGTGTGCTTAACCTAGAGAATTAGGAATTTAACTAATCACCAGTCTGAGTTTTTTAAACTGGCTTGAACAGCACAACTTATTTTATTTGCGTAAAGAGGTTACTGGGAGTGGGTACATTTCTGCTTCTTTATTGTTTGTTCTACAGGCAGGAATTTACTGGGTTAACCTAATAGATCACTTTTGTGCTGGATGGGGGATCCTTATTGCAGCTGTCCTGGAGATAATAGGCATCATCTACATTTACGGTAAATTATTTGCATTGAAAATCTGTGATTTGACTATGCAATCCCAAGCACTGTGTATACTAAACATTCATTACCACAATAAAGCATTTATAACTTAATTGGCTGAAAAGCTTTAATGGTTACCACAGAACTGGAGAAACTGTCCTTGACCATTGCCTTTCTTCTATCACTTTTGAGTAACCACAACTGCAAGGGAGGCACCTGCTTTACAATGCACCCTACAATTGTCTTTCAACAGGAGGGAACAGGTTCATCAAAGACATTGAAATGATGATTGGAAAGAAGAGTTGTTTATTCTGGCTGTGGTGGAGAATGTGCTGGTTTTTCATTACTCCTGTGCTGTTAATGGTGAGTGTAGATGACTGGATTGTGTTAGTGTGACAGAACTTAGTAACTGGGCATCGAAGAGGTTTCCATGTGAAGATTCAGGGCTGAATGCCCAGGCCCTATGCATAAAGACAGGGTATGGCTGTGCCAGTGAAGCAAACTATGTGCTATCTATGCTTTCTGATACAGTCCACTCCTCCTTGGGTCCTCCCCAGGAGAGGCTGGACCTTCAGATTGGTTGCAAGTGAGCTGGGTCTACACTCCCCAGGAGTAGCACAGAGCAACCAGATTGTCCGTTTTAGCAGCTGGATTATCTTCATTTCAGACTGAGAAAATATTTTGAAAACCTAGATTTTTATTTTTTTTTTTATCCCCTGTGTGGGAAATCCCATTTTTGTGACAGATCCCTGGCTTGCATTTGCTCTTTGGATGTCCAGCTGTTCCCCTGTCTAAGTGAGACTTTTTTAATGTCCTGTTATGTGTGTGTCAGTTTCTTGTTATTCCTGTACTTGTAATTGTGAGTGTAGATAGTTGAATTATGTTACTATGAGAGAATTCATTAACATCCCAAATCCAGGAGCAGTGGCAAGTCATTCTGGCCAGCACATTATCTAATCTATCCAGACTACAGTTTAGAAAATGCTGCTTAAAATTTTCTTATTTCTGCACCAATATTTGCCAAAGTTTAATCTTAAATTCTTTCCCATATTCCTGTAAATAATGAAACATGAGAACATATAAAACATACAGAGAAAGGTACTTGGCTCATCCAGCAACATATATATTCTCCCACATAAGATTTCAACGAAACCCAGGAATCAAGTTCTGTTTAAACATAGATGTACTTTAAAGTGTTAGGGTGTGTATCAGTGTCGTCTTTTAGTCCTATCCTTCAGTCTTACTGCTTGGCCATGACTGGACACTAAATTCTGCACAACTGTTCTCACGCTCGAAAAGCAAGAAGGAACTGTGCAGAATCTGTAATTTTATTTTATTTTTTAGCCAACTTGGAAATACAGTGCAAATTCAAGTTAGCTGGAAGTCTACTTTTCTCTCTTAATCTTTTTATCGTTTTTTATAGGCAATTTTGATCTGGTCTTTGGTCACATTTTCACCTCCCAGTTATGGCTCAGTGTTCTATCCAGCCTGGGGAACTGCTGTTGGCTGGTGCATGATTATCTTCTGCGTCATCTGGATTCCCATCATCGCTATTCTGAAAATAGTTAAAGCTGAAGGAAACATTTGTCAGGTAAGGGCACAAAAGAGCTGTCATAGCCTCAATCTTGCTTTCCTTAGCATTATCAGGAAGACCTGTACTTTCTTCTCAAAAACACATTCGGTACTTTAAGGTGTTCATTAATTGGATTTTTAGACCAAAACACAGCTCTGGTAGTTGCATCAGAGGGAAATTTACCCTACTGTGTTCTGATAAGAAGACAAAGTCTAGTTCTCTGGGAGTGCACACACACATTCAAGAGTGATTTTCATGGCTTCTGTTGTTATTCCAGCTGCTTTAAATTCTCTGAAGAATTTATATCACGTATAATTTTCTGGAGTTTTCCCTCCCGTTCCTCAAAGAAACGAGCAAGTGCAAGATCTGAGGTATGCTCTTCTTGCCAAGCTTTACCAAAGAGTCCCGTGGGTCACAGCTTCCCCTGCTTGTTTGACTTCAGTGCCCAGAATCCACTGAATCTGAAGACATTTGGAACTATTTCAAAAAACTTTGGTTTTTGTTTGCCATTTGTTGAGTTGCAGGGCATATCTAGAGTTAGAGCTTTACTGAACTTTAAAAGTAGCCTGGACTAAGGTAAGACATTAAATTCCTCTTGTTTTTGCTTTCCAGCGCATTGCAAGCTGCTGCAGGCCTGCTGCAAACTGGGGTCCCTACCTGGAATGTCACCGAGGAGAAAGATACAGCCACGTTATAGATACCAAAAAGGCAAAGGAACATGAGATTCCTACTGTGTGTGCCTTCGTATACACTCAACAATGAGATGGCCATTTCGATGACAAATTTTAAACATATGTGTGGTTTTTTCTTTAACTATTAGAAAGTGATGATGCAAAACAACAAAAAGCAAACCCCCTGCCCTTCAAAACCCAGCCCCTAAAAGAAAGTGAGCCATATTATTTATTTCTAGTGTGTATGTTTGGGGAGGAACAGGTAAGTTAGACACTGAGATCTCCCCAAATATTTAGGTTGAGAAGGCAGGAAAATGCATTGCATGATCCCCAGGCTAATGGACTGGGCATGCTTAACTCCATCCAACCGGTATCCAGCTGGACTGCAGATACAGGTGTGGAGGAGAACAAAGACACATTCTGATGCCCCCCAGCTGCAGGAAATTTGAGCCAAAAGGTGCTGTGCTTGCGTGCTCCGATGTGCTACGGGCAGTTTACTGCCTTCTGCTATGCTTTGCCATCCATGATGGTGTGCAGTTGGCAGAGAAGTGAATGAGTGTGCTGCTGCTGGACACTGTAGCTCAGGGAACAGGAATAATTTTTCTCTATCTAAGCCTTGCTCAATGTTGTGAGGCTGCTCAGGATTTCATGTTGACTACAGTATGTGTGCTTTTTGTCTGTACATCTAAATATTGAGTGGCAAAAAATTGCCATTGCAGGAAAATAAGGCCTTAACATGATGAAAAGTGAGCTTCTTTCTATTTCTTATTATTCCCCTTGGGATCCCCAAAGAGTCATCTTTTGTGTCATGCCCCATGCTCAGCATTCATCTGTCTATAATTAAAAAATTTCATGTTTCCATATTCTGTCATTAGGCTCTGCGGAATGAAATAGTAACCATTGAATTCTGGTGCGTCTGCTCTCCTACACTTACCAAGGCTTTACCTATCAGTTAATTCTCTGCGTCTTTCACTCAGGCTTGGGTTTTCGCTTCCAAAGAAGATCCAAAGTGCTTTTTAAAGATTCAAACAGTGTTATCAGTGTTGTGGTAGAGCCAAAAGAAGCAGAACTTTACCCCAAGTGAAGGTTACAACTGCCTTGTAGTACTGTTACTCCAAAATTTACTGAAATCATGAGATTATTGAAAAGTTAGGAAGTTTGTAATGTACTAGGGAACACAGACTTATGCTTTTATCTAGGTAGGAGGGGTTTAGGTTAAAAGAACGTGACTTCATTCATAATACAAGTGAATTCCTGATAAAGGGAAAAAAGGACCTATGGGTTGAATGAATGCATCTTGTGTGCTGATAAATGTCTCTCGTACTGTGATAATGGCTCCTTGGGAACAATTTCTAGCTGTCACTTCCTCTCAGGGCTTTGTCACTTTTTCTGGACATGAAGGAGCATGGCTAGTGGCTTGTTGCCCAAGCGGCATACCTTGGTGTATGTTTTATACTGATGTTTTTGTGACAAATCAACACTTTATGGCAAATAAAATGTGATTTTTCTGTTTTTAATGCTTTTGGAGCTGGAAAATGAGATTTTAGCCTTTTTTATGGAGATGGAGGGAGCAGTTGGTGGGAAGGGAAGTACCACCAACTCTTCTATGATCCTAAGCCTTTGGGAGATTGAACTGGAAAGACTCAACCTCCAGGAAGCCCTTTCTTCTAGGAGTTAGGACCTAGTGCAATAGCCCTGTTTTGGAGTGGGCTCAGAAAATACAGGTAGTAATAGAAAGGGAATTTATACAAAGGACTGTGGGACTAGAGCCTGTAACAGAAGCTGCTGAAAAGGACCCCTTTCCTGCATTCCAGCTGCTCTAGGGTCATGGTCTAGCCACAAACCAGCAGAAAACAGTACTGTCATTGGTCCTGATGCGTGGAGAGGCTGGGAGCAGGAGGAAGGCTGAGCTGCAAAGCTGTGGTGCTCATCCTCCAGTGCACCATCCATGGGAGCTACCTCAGTGGGCAGCAGTTCATACCGGGGAAGGGGCAGGCTGTGAGAAGGAGAGAGAAGTTAGTCAAGTAACGAGTGAGAGTGCTCCAAGAGATGAGGAGAAAACAGGCTGGCTGAATCAGCTTTGGAAACGATCTAGGAAAAAAGAGAAAGTATTTAATTTCAATTCTACCCCATCAGCTATTTGCAATAGGACACTTTCCAGACAGGGCTGCATGGTGATATGCTAACCAGGAGAGAGCAGATTGTGCTTGTATCTTCTGCTCCGCTCCAGGCACCCCAGGAAGTGGGGGCCTGCGAGGGGTCAGCAAAACTCCCTGGCCCAGCCTGATTCTGCCCATGATGCTGGCCGGCTTGCTCGCTGATCCATGGCTCTGGAGACTGCATTATAAACCAGCAGCCATAAAATTGAGTCCTCTGACACTTGCTCCTGCCTGGCTGGTGGTTGTTGAACAGCATCTGAGCTTTGAATTCAGCTGGCCATATTGAAAGGTCTTTTTTATCCAGTTCCAAATGGGTGAAAAAGATAGCTGGTGCTCCCGTTGAACTCCTGTGTGGCTTCAAGCTGAGCATTATGGTAGCAATACAGCTGCCATGTTAAAGCCACTCTGGTGTCTGCAGGCTGGAGTTGACGATGGGTGATCTTGGCAGACCAGTTGTCCCAGGAAGGCAACCTTTCCAACCCCACAACTCAATTTTGTGACACTTGTGCACCCTCACTTCGAAGTCCCCAGAGCTCAGCTGAGCCTCACCCTTTTCCCATTCTCCATACCTGTGGATGATGTGGCCTTGCTGAGGTGTCCCCTTCCTGGCCTTTCAAAAATTTTTTTCTAAGAAGCATCAGTGTAGACTCAGAAGCAGCATGCGAGTTTTTAAACGAAATCTTTATTTTTTTGTTTCAGCTTAAAGTCTAATTTTCCATCATTTTGTAGGTCTATAGCAGGACTTTGTGTCATTATTTGGCTTCAGATCCCTAGATGTGGCAGTGTTTGATGTGGGCACTGCGGCACCACAGTCAGGCTCTGAGGGATGGGGCATCTGCTACATGGTTGGAGCATGGCTCTTTGGAGAGGGATGAATGAGAAGTGAGAGGTACCAGTGTGTGAGCAGAGCTGACTTGCTGGGGAGCTGCAGAGGAGTGAGGAGGTGATTGCACAGCCCATCTGTTGAGGGCAAAATCATGTATTTCCTGAGTCACCTTTTGTAAGGGGTTGGCAATCCTCCACAAAGTCTGATGCAGCAAAAAAAAAAAAAATAATCCCTAAGTGTTCAAATTGAAACTGGTCTTGAAACAAATTAGTATCTGCTAGCCTCAAAGAAATTACTGGGGCAAAAGGTTTTACATTGTTGGAAGAACCTGATTTCAGTGACTTCAATGATGTTTGCTTTTTAGTCCAAATGATCTTTGTTTTGGAAGGCTAGTAAATACAAAGCACCAAAGAAGAAAATTACAAAAGTTTGTTGAACACATTTTAAAATTTAAAACTATTTTCTCAATCTGAGCTGCTTTGGAACGGAAGTGAAGGGGAAGGTGATGTTTTGACTTCTTGATTTGGAATAAGGAAATCGGTGTAAAAACAATCTGAAGAATGACAAAAACCTTTTCCAATTTAGCTTTGTGATGCAAATAAAGCAAATGCTGGCAGGATACTTTAAAGAAAAAAAACTATGTTATCCTAATTCTGGTAGTTAGTTATTTTCTTAAAAGTTAATGTTTAGTCCTCTGTTAATGGGATTCTGGGAGCCACTATCTAATCTCAGGTTCCTGTGAGTCCTAGGGAAGCTCCAGATCCTCTGTGTAGATTAGCCTTTCAGGAAGACAGTGGGGGGGCAGGGGGGAAAGGCACTGAAATCTATGGGCTGCAGGTAAATGGCACTTGATGAAGGAAATGAGGAAAGAAGACTACATATGAACTGATTGTTCCCATGTAAGTATTTTTTTTATTGTGGGGTTTTTGTTTTGTGGGTTTTTTTGTTGTGGTTTTTTGGTTTTTTTGGGTTTTTTTTTTTTTTTTTTTAATAAAGGAGTTGTCTGCAAAAATATGGGTTAACTGAGTATGTGAATGAAACTTTGCAACCAAACCTCTGGTCTGATCTAGAGCATGTACAGGGCAGAAGACTCACTCCTGGCTCTGGTTCTCCTTGTCCTCTCTCCTGCCCCAGCAGGGATGCAGGAGGAAATGAAACATGTGTGATCTGAACTGTATGTGGGGAGAGGTTTTCCTCCACTGTTGACTTAACCTGGTTCATCAACTCATGCTCACTGCAGTTGCAGTTTCGTGTTGAGTCTTTTGGACAGATCCAATCTCAAAGGTCCTTGTTCCCACCACTCCTCCAGTTCTGGTCCTGGTGCCTAGTTAGCAATACTGTGGAACTTATTGCTGTGCAACAAGTAAAGACCTCAATCTAAACTAGTTTGGTGTAATGGTTTGTTTAAAAAACAAAACAAAACAAACCCCACAAACCAAAAACCAAACAGTGCTGGCAGTTTTTGTCACAGGATCATTTAGTAGATCCCCTAAAGACTAGAGCCATAGAAATCAGATGAATCGGAGACAGCAGCCTCAGACCAGGCAGGGGAGGAGGTGATGTGGGATTGAGAAACGAGTTAAACTGGGTCTTCCACTGAAGGAAATGCAGTGGGAAATGGCAGCCTTACCTGGCCTGACCCTGCTTGATCAAAGTCAGGCTGACTGATAGCACAACCACAGCTACTAAAAGAAGGTTTTTCTTCCTCAATAAAACAATCTCAAGAAGGTTTTCTTGCACAATAAAACAATCTCAAGAAGGCTTGAGATTACTTTCTTGAACTGATTTATCAGTGTGTGATAACTCAGCCCATTGTGAAAGAATAAAACTGCACCTTGGAGAAGCATGGAGTCAGCATGGAGGTAAAAGGTGCACGTGCATCGCAAATATGATGTGCAGCTCCCCCAGCACAAAAGGCTGAGCAGAATTGAAGAGGTACAGAGAAAACACCAAAAGACAGCCTGAACAAGGGTTTTGCTTTGCGAAAATCAGGGCTGGAGAGCAGACCCAATAGCCATCCATGGAATCATGAGAGGAGTGACAAAGGGGACTAAGGAATAGCTATTCATTATTTCTAATAGTTTCAGAACCAGAGAAAAGATGAGA